TGAAAATCTGAAATAGCACAACGTTTCCTGTAAGGGGTAGGGTTGGTGTAGGGCAATAGAATACACGGTCTGTACAGTATAAAAACCATTACGCCTATGGGATGTCCCCACTTTTCACAAAAACAAACCTGTGTGTCTCTGTGTGTGTGTGTGTGTGGTTTGTCAAATAGATGTAAAAGATGTAACATTTTATGCTAACTTTAAGAAAAAAATCCAACAGCATTCATATCAAGCACACATCTTTAAATTATTTATAGGGATTGATCACCCAAAAATAAAATAGTCTCTTTTTTTTTTCACCTACATGTCATTTTAAAGGCATGCATATGACTTTCTATCTTGCAACCAGGGTTGTGCAACAAATTGAGAATGTATGCAAACTGAAAATTCATACCAATGCCTACTAGAGCTTGAACTGAAATAAGAAGTGGACTGGAAGAAATTCATCATATAATAACATGGTTGGAAATCAAATGTTTGTTTCATGTTATAATGAATAATTACCTTCTTTTTTTTTAGGTGAACTATTCTGGTTTTAATCTTCTGGTCTTCTATTATTTTTCAAATCTTATTTTACGAGACCTTACTGATGATACTCTTTAAACATTGTCAGTTTTACCTGTGCATTACAAGGTAAGGTGAACATAACACTTTAAGTCTGTCTCAAAGGTTGCGAGAGGCTACATTCTCACAACCTTTGAGAATGAGAGCAAATATATGTGCGAATTTCAGTCGATACTGTGGAGGTGTGAAGGTAAAGAGGTTTCTTCTGTAATCCTTGCATCAGGGCTGAAAGCAGCAGTTTCCTTTGTATTTCAGCAGATAAAACTCAGCCTGGAAACACAAAAGCTGCAGTGCGGCGATCTCCACAGGCTAATAATATCAGCTTCTTACTAGATTGAACCATTAATGTTTACCTAAGTAGCTAAGGTTGTTTTAGGACTGCAGTCAACCAACCACAAAAATATTGTATAAAATCTGCTAAAATAATCATTTTGTTTATTATTATTTTTAGCATGTGGGCTCAGCAAAAGTGCATGAACTTAGGTGCTCCCCATGAGAGCACTATAATTTAAGATGTTAATATGTATGCAGAAATGCCAGCAAAAACAATCAGACTTAATGCATTCCAGCAAAAGCACATTCTCACATGTAAACCGACTGAGCAGCTGCTCGTGGGTGTTAAGCCACTGGGTTTTTTGGCAGACTATTGGGGCAAATATGTTCAGAAGTCTGCAGCAGCTGTTGCTGACTTTATGATTGGCCTCTAGTTTGTGTCAAAAACAGTCAATGTTGGCAGCAAATGTCAACATGGTAACCGATGTCAGGGGTATCTCATAAAATTGGTGCAGTGTGACTAATGGCCAGCAGGGGGTGAGAGCGTTCACGGTGGCACCATATGTGCTACAATCAGTAACATGTCATAACTCATCTGCATAGACTAGACTACCCATCCAAATTATGCTCAGACGTGCAACACTTGATACAGCAGATTACAGAATTATTGTAGACAGGAACAGGCCAAGAAATGTAATATAACTGAACACAATAAGCAAAAGCTCTTTGTGGCTTCGGTGCTATTTTTGCTTGTTTGATTGATTTACATACAAGTGCTTTTACAGCCAGGAATATTTTATTGCTCAGTGGTTGATCTTTCATAGTTTGAAAGACTTTATGGAGGTCTCAGCTGTTTCATTGAAATATCAACTTTGTCTGCTTTCAATAAAGTTCATTAAGGGAAATAAAAAAATGGATGTAGGCCTAAATGTGAGACATTTTGACATATAACAAGTATAGAGAGCTATAAAATTAAAACGGTTGCACTGGAATAATTTGATGAGAAATACTGGAGTATTTCAAAATCTGAGCAGAGTCTGAGACATAATTGACATCTATTTGTGAAACACAAAACGAGAAAAATTTTAGAAAAAAAAGTTTTTTTTTCTGAAAGATGAAAAAACTGAGAAGTAGGACGATTGTGTCTCTCTATTAGTCTCATTGCTGTTTAAAAGAAATAACTTAGATATTAAAGAGATCTCATTTGTAATTTCAATTTCCTCTGGGAGTTCTAACTCTATTGGTTTGAAATGAAAGACTGCAGTTGAAGTGAATTTATCTTTGCAAGTCTAGTTACTAACTCAAGCTAAGAGAGACGTTTTTACATATATTATACAGCTATAACATTAAAATGGATAGCACAGTATTAATTGTATGTGAATTACTGGACTTCATACAGTGGGTACGGAAAGTATTCAGACCCCCTTAAATGTTTCACTCTTTGTTATATTGCAGCCATTTGCTAAAATCATTTAAGTTAATTTTTTTTCCTCATTAATGTACACACAGCACCCCATATTGACAGAAAAACACAGAATTGTTGACATTTATGCAGATTTATTAAAAAAGAAAAACTGAAATAACACATGGTCCTAAGTATTCAGACTACTTAGAAGTCGTGTTGTTTGAAACCTCCAAATGGCAGGAAAAATACTTGCCACTTTCCACAAGTACACAGTGGCGTCTCCTCTGATATTTTTAAAAGACACAGACCAAAAATGACCATTAAATATAAAGGCATTTGATATGTTTAAAAGGCTCTACTTTCCATGCATGGCTGATATTATGTAATTTAACATATCTAAAAGGCCTCACAACAAAAATTTGCAACGCTTTTAAAAATGTGTACAATACACTGCAGAGAAAAGAACTGGGATTTTCTGGGCTTTCTCTGCTAAAATATTGGGAGTGTTCCACCAAGTAGCCAATCAGAACCTGAAATCAAAAGCAGTTTGGAATGATGAAATTAATTCATGATGAATTATCAATGCAATGCAA